AGGAAGGGGGCGGAGACAAGACCAGTCACTCTGTATAAGGAGAGCAGCAGTGAGCGGTCTTTATTACAGGAGGGGGCGGAGACAAGACCAGTCACTCTGCATAAGGAGAGAGAGCAGCAGTGACCAGTCTTTATTACAGGAGGGGGCTGAGTCAAGACCAGTCACCCTGCACAAGGAAAGAGAGAGAGAGCAGCAGTGACTGGTCTCTATTATAGGAGGGGGCGGAGACAAGACCAGTCACCCTGCACAAGGAGAGATAGCAGCATTGACCGGTCTTTATTGCAGGACATCTCTACACAGAGGCGAGGTGCAGAAGTAGTTTCCTGCAGATTTACTGTACAGATCTGGAAAACAATATCTACTAAGAACACCAAACTTTCGGTAATAAGAATACACATACTTCTTATATTTCATTAGCCCGTATTGCAACTTTAATCTACAAATTCGAAATATGTCACTGAAAATACACGAGACTTCCCCAATGCTTTCCCATGATACATGGTAGACTTGTGCGCCGTCAAAAAATTTGTTTCGTTTTGGAATATCCGTTATTTCGTATTTCGCAATTCGTATCCGAAACTCAATTCGGATTCGTACGAAATACGGATTTTCGTTAGTTTCGGCACATTTTCGTAACTGTACGAACATTCGTTATGATGAAGTTAAAAAGCAAAAATACCTTTGTTAATATTGGAGTCGATGTGGTAGTTGTTTTTTTAACCGTTAACAGATTCCGGATCCAAATTTCGTATTTCGGATAAAAAAAAAACTACCATCAACTCCAATATAAATGTACTTTGCTTTTTAACTTCAATATATAACAGAATTTCGTATTTCCTGCCTGTGTATTGTAATGCAACTCTCAGCAGCCGCGGATCCGTATTTCGGATTTTAAAAAAAATCTTGTCATGTTGTTCAACCTCATTTACAGGGGTAATATTAGTTCCTGTTTCAAAGAAATTCGGATCCGAAATTCGTTAACGGAATTTCGTATTTCGGATATAATTCGGAAACTGCCATTCGGATTTCATATGCTTCCAAATCTACGAATTTCAGGAAAATTTGTACGAATTTCGATTCGTAACGAAACGAATCGCACATGTCTAATAAATGGTGATATCTAGTGGAGCAATGGTCCTGGCTCGCTTGACATACACCCATCACCGGATCACATGACCTGCATTGTGGCACTTATGCCAGCAGAGTCATCATCCACTTTGGATTAGCATTCTGATGGCGTCAATGCCCCAGTGCATGTCTGCCATGGCATCGGGTCACATGACACAAACCTAAAGCCGTGCAATCGGAGACAGTCGACCCTTACTCTTTCCTTTCTTCCTAATGCTTGGTTATAGTGCAACCTTTCAGCTTAGAACCGTCTTAAATTCCTACAACCGCGGGATACAATAATCGATTGGATACGGCTAAATATTAAATTGGATTTGTGTCTATAACCCGAGACGCTCAGTAAAACAATATAACAATATGTACCATGCAGAGACATCAGAGAAGCCTTACTGACCCAAGACACTCTCTATATAATGATCGGTGATGCACAGTATCCAGAGACGTCATTTATACATCCCTCGTTAGAGGTCGTGAATCATAATTACATGTCTAGGGGAGGTTATACATAATGCTTCACACACGGTAACGTTCCAGAGACAACACGGTAATAACATTACATGTCGAGCTTCAGTACATGGGGGGGGAAAAAAGGAACACGACATTTTTTTTTTTTAGAAAATGTTCAAAAAAGAGATTATCAACATCCAAACAGATCATTTACACTTTCATTTATTCTAAGGGAGGTCGTGGAGGTTCTGTAGAATAGGGAGATAGTCCTACTAGATAACAGGCAATGTTCATCAAGTTATCCCAAAAAGAACACAATAACCATCGGCACTATAAGGACAGTATGTGCTGAATTAAACCCTCTATGAGTCTTTCTCAACCAAGGTTCACCGGAGCCCTTGGCTTCCACCAGAGATTACCAGGGGCTCCTCTAGATATTTATAGGGACTCCTCCTGAGATTGCTAGGGGCCCCTCCTGAGATTGCTAGGGGCTCCTCCAGAGATTAATAGGTGCTCCTCCAGAGATTTATAGGTGCTCCACCAGAGATTACTAGGGGTTCCTCCAGAAAATGTTAGGGGTTCCTACAAAGATTATTAGGGGCTCTTCCAGAGATTTATAGGGGCTCCTCCTGAGATTGCTAGGGGCTCCTCCTGAGATTGCAATGGGCTCCTCCTGAGATTGCTAGGGGCTCCTCCTGAGATTGCTAGGGGCTCCTCCTGAGATTGCTAGGGGCTCCTCCTTAGATTTCTAGGGGCTCCTCCAGAGATTTCTAGGGGCTCCACCAGAGATTTCTGGGGGCTCCTCCAGAGATTTCTGGGGGCTCCTCCAGAGATTTCTAGGGGCTCCTTCAGAGATTGCTAGGGTCTCCTCCTGAGATTGCTAGGGTCTCCTCCTGAGATTGCTAGGGTCTCCTCCTGAGATTTATTGGGGCTCCTCCTTAGATATCTAGGGGCTCCTCCAGAGATTTCTAGGGGCTCCTCCAGAGATTTCTAGGGGCTCCTCCTGAGATTGCTAGGGGCTCCTTGAGCAGTGAGCAGTAGTGGATTGATTTCCAACATGATGGTGCTTTGCACAGTTCCGGTCCAAATGTCATCAGGATGAGGCATTACACTGGCCACGAGCCTAACAGGGTATGCCCTGCACTGATTGCTAATGTAATAGGGCAACTCTCCAATGACCATCATTGTAAAGGGAAGCTTATCCTCTGATGTAAAGGGACACTTTAACACTGACCATCAATTGATAGGAGCACTGACTCAAAGTGCAAGTGGGGCATTTCCTCACTGACCCCCAATGTGATAGGGCATTTCCCCACTGACCTCCAATGTGAAGGGGGCATTTCCCCACTGACCACCAATGTAAGAGTACACATCTCCTATTGACCATCATTATAGTGATCACTGATGTATAGTAGCATTGACCCCAAGTGTAAGAGGGGCATTTCCCCACTGACCACTCAAGTAAAGGGGCATTTCCATGCTGACTGCCAAGGTAAGAGGGCACTTCTCCTACTAACCATTCAGGGGCACCTTTACACTGACCACTAATGTATAGGAGCATTGACCCCAAGTGTAAGAGGGGCATTTCCCCACTGACCCCCAATGTAAAGGAGCATTTCCCCACTGACCACCAATTAAAGGAGCATTTCCCCACTGACCACCAATGTAAAGGGGCATTTCCCCACTGACTGCCATTGTAAGAGGGCATCTCTCTTACTGACCATCAAGGGGCACTTTTATACTGACCATCAATGTATAGTAGCACTGACCCCACGTGTAAGAGGGGCATTTCCCCACTGACCACCAATGTAAAGGGGCATTTCCCCACAGACCACCAATGTAAAGGAGCATTTCCCCACTGACCACCAATGAAAAGGAGCATTTCCCCACTGACCACCAATGTAAAGGGGCATTTCCTCACTGACCACCAATGTAAAGGAGCATTTCCCCACTGACCACCAATGTAAAGGAGCATTTCCACACTGACTGCCAATGAGAAAGGGCACCTCTCTTACTGACCATCAAGGGGCACTTTTATACTGACCATCAATGTATAGTAGCACTGACCCCACGTGTAAGAGGGGCATTTCCCCAACTGACCACCAGTATAAAAGGGCACTTTACTGACCACTTATACTGACCACCAGGAACACTAGAGTTAAACAGTAAAGTTGTACACAGGACGGGAGGGTTAACAAATGAGCCGTTCTGGGAGTCAATGATGCTACATACACCACATTCCGTATCCCTTACTGATCACACTAACGGACCACGATGACCTGTAAATAGACATTTGTAGCAGCGGTTTGGGAAGATCCAGCAATTATTTCCAGAAAAAAGGCTGCTCTGTATAATACTCAATGACTCTCTGTATGAGATAACAGCCAGCCACACTAGTCTTTGGTGGAGGTAACGTATCATCCCACTATGTGACAGATCCCTGGTTACTCTGTACATAGGAAGAACCGGGACTACCAAATCATATTACAGGGCTGGAACGCGGTATTCAATGTACGGATACTTCATATCAGTGTATAGAAGATAATCATCGCCAATGTCTATAGAATAGTAAGGTCACATAGAGGAGAGGGTTAAACACTCAATATAAGTGTTTACATTGAGTGATATTAATGATCAATGTACAGGAGATAGATAGATAGATAGATAGATAGATAGATAGATAGATAGATAGATAGACTGTATGAAAGCTATAAAGGCAACCGTGACATTGGTATATAGCAGTAGGTATCTATGAATTACATAATTACTGTTGTATATCAGGCAAGCGTGATATACGTTATCACAGAATGATTAGACGGATAGACATAGACATGGATAGATAGATAGATGGATAGATAGATGGATATCAATAAAGATTAAGGGAGAAAGAGATATCAAGACTGGGAACAAGAAAGAGAAAGAGAAATAGATACCAGACAGAGATAGATAGAGAGAGAGAGAGAGAGAGAGAGAGAGAGAAGAGGGAGAAATATATACTAGACATAGATAGATAGATAGATAGATAGATAGATAGATAGATAGATAGATAGATAGACAGCAACCACTCAGAATATAATTTGCACCTGTAAAGCACACAATATACACATTGGTGGGTAATGCTCGGCCACAGTGTACATCAGTATGACACACTGGCAGCACTCATAGAGACATGAATGGGCATTGCCCAGCCACAGGGGATAGAAGAGATATTGAGTTGTGCTCTATGACAGTTACACCTCATTGGCACAAGCAGCAACATTCCATGTCTGATGGTACTCCGTGCCACTATAGCTCTGATAAGCATTATTGGCACGACCTGGCGTTGCCCAGTCACCGATTACCCAAGATATATCATTCAATCAGGGGCGCCGAGTGAGGAGGGTACAGAGACGCTCGGCTATAAAGAGATGGCAGTGGGTACTCACGCTGCTGTTGTGCCCGGACCAGTGGACCATGGCTTGATTGTGAGCCGAATCTCCGGTCAGCGCGAAGGTGGTGCTGCTCAACTTTAACTCTTCCACCCGAAAGACCTCAAACGGATCGGTCCTGTCGCCCCAATCCCCAGCGGTGCCAGCAAACTGCCCGCTTCTTTCATCGCTTCCAAACTGTCCGTGTCTGCCGGTGGCATCGCTGTCCAAGTATTCCTCCTGTCCTTTACTCATGTCCTGCTCACTCCCAGTGCCCACAAAGCTGGCATCCGCTAACCGGTCACCGGCACCTTCGTACCCATCGCCGGTCTCCGGTCTTGCAGCCAAGAGGTCCTGATCGTCGCCTGGCCGGTTGGCATTTCCCGACTGGCCATGCCTGGTGTACCCCCAAGCCTGCCCCCAGTCGCTCAAGGCTTCTTCCTGCATCCTCTTCATCATGCGCCCAGCACCTGCGCCCTGCAGCCGGATGTGAGGGTGGCAGGACGAGCAGGTCAGCTCACCTCGGCTATCCGAAATCAAAGCTGCGATGGCAAAAAGCGGCAAAAGCCCCCATTCCGGGAGAGCCCCCATGCCCACAGCTCCTTGGGTGCTCTCACTTCAACTCCATAGAAGTTTCTGAGTGCGTAGACTGGACTGAGCAGCCAGTGGAAGGGAGAAGTGTGCGGGGTGGGGGGGGGGGGGGGGGCAGGGGGGGCGGATTGGAAAAGAAAAAAGAAGCGGATTCTTCTTGCAGAGCTGATGCTGTCGCTCGGGAATTTGATGTAGGAGCGAGCAGACAGGGGAGGAGCTGGATGAAGGAGAGAATTTCTGAGAGAGGATGAGATGGCAAAGGGGGGAAGAGAGAGAGAGACAAAGTTGGAGCGCAGCTGAGCCCTGGAGTGCTGGAGAGAGAGAGACAGAGAGAGACAGCGAAGAAGAAGAAGAGGAGGGAGCAGCAGCGGCGAGAGAGAGCGCCGAGAGGCACGGGAACGATCAGTTCGCTGGCTGCTTCATGCAGCAGAAATGCAGCGAGCTCATCACGCGGTGACACTGCTCTTTTAACCCGTTCTCTCCCACCGGGGGGCAGCAACGGCCCAGCCAGCAGCTGAAAGGTTAAACCGCTGCCTGTAGGCATTGCCGGTTGTTAACCGTGGTCAAGCCGAGACTGACACAGGGGGCACCGCTGCTGCCCAACTTTCCAAAGGGCAGGAAATTGGGACAAGCCCCCGCTATCCCTAATATTTACATTTCAATCAGTTGCCAGGAACTAAGGACTAGCCCCCCACTTGCCCCAATTTTTCACATTTCGATCAATTGTTAAGAAAGAGGGATGAGCCCCTACTTTCCCCAATTGTTCACATTTCGATCAGTTGTCAGGAAGGAGGGACCAGCCCCCACTTTCCCCAATTTGTTTTTCACATTTCGATCAATTGTTAAGAAAGAGGGACAAGCCCCCACTTACCCCAATATTTCAAATTTTGATTAATCGGCAGGAAAGAGGGATGAGCCCCTACTTTCCCCATTTGTTCACATTTCGATCAGTTGTCAGGAAGGAAGGACCAGCCCCCCACTTACCCCAATGTTTTACATTTCGATCAATTGGCAGGAAGGAAGGACCAGCCCCCCACTTATCCCAATTTTTTACATTTCGATCAATTGGCAGGAAAGAGGGACAAGCCCCCACTTACCCCAATTTTTTACATTTCGATCAATTGGCAGGAAAGAGGGACAAGCCCCCACTTACCCCAATTTTCCACATTTCAATCAATTGGCAGGAACAAAGGGCGAGCCCCCCACTTACCCCAATTTCTTAAGTTTCAATCAAACTGGCAGGAATGAGGGATGACCCCCCTTTTTTTAAACAATTTTTTAAATGTCGATCAATTAACAGGAAAGAGGGACAAGCCCCCACTTTCCCCAATTTTCCACATTTCGATCAATTGGCTTTTTTTTTGATTGGATGATTCAGAATAAAGCCAAAGCCCCCAATTGGCTTTCTTTTTGGTCGGTGACTCAAAGTATGGATGGTATTGGATAAGTATGACAACCAGGTGAACGGCATTTTGCAAAGAAGCACCCCCAAATCTTTATTAAATCAGATTTCGATCAATTGGCTTCTTCAATTGGAAGAATCGGAATGAAGCCAAAAGCTCCCAATCGCCTTGTTTCTGGTCGGTGACTCAAAGCCCGGATGGTATTGGATAATCATGACAGCCAGGGAATTGGCATTTTGAAATGGAGCACCCCCCAAAATTTGTATTAAATTACATTTTGATCGATTGGCTTTTTTGATCAGCAGAATTGGTATGAAACCAAAGCCTCCAATCGGCTTGCTTGTCATCAGTGACACAGTGTAGTGATGATATTGGATACGTATGACAGCCAGGTACTTGGCATTTTGAAAAGCCCCAATTTTTTCCCCCTGGAATACGCACACCAATCAAACTTAGTTGGGTTTCCTTTAAATGTTACAAATATTTGGGATTAAAATAAGCAAAAATCACTGAATTCTCATATAAACTTTCAACATGCTCATCCTTCATTACAATAGTCCCCGGTGATCCCGCCATGATGGTCCTTGTCCAGGCATTTCCAGTTATAGGGTGACAACGCTCTGTCCCTCTCTCCCAACCGTGCTCCTGTGTTGTCATCCTGTCGCTACAAGTGTCCATTTCAATGCACATTGCCCACTGTTGTCACCATCAGGAATCCCGCCCTGAGAAATGTCATGTAGCCAACACCGTAGACAGGAAGTGGCTGCGACGAGGCTGCATGAGATCACCAGGGAGGAGAAGGGACAAATGATGGGAAAAAAAGGCAAAAAATATTTTGCTTTTAAAAAAAATGACACAAAGATGTCCAGCGATGTGTAAAAGAGACATTTAGAACCAACCATGCCCAGTATTTTGTACCCATTTCACTGGTGTCAGACATGTTGACCACTGTTCAGGACCATCGAAGGATCCCCCCCCGGGAGGTCCAATGGCTAATTCAGCATCAGACTGGAGGGACTACAGCTGTGGTGGAACTACAACTCCCAGAAAGCCATGTTGGGACCTGTAGTTCCTTGAGCGCAGGGTGGCCAAGTTACCCATACAGGGTGATGTAATATGAGCATTTTTTTGAGCATGTTTGTCACATGACACCCTCCTCCATACACATTGCGCATCACATGGTGCTGGCTTAACAGAACAGAAGGGGGTGGGCCGAACATTTCCAGCCCAATAGACGGGCTTTGCATGCAAACATTCACATCTCATATTATTCATTGAGTGATTGTGACTCTTCATATGATACAGTCATCTCTGAAAACAATGTCCCAGGGGAGCCATAGTGCGTGAAGCAGCAGCAGCAAGAAATGGCCCCAAAATCCGTCTTATACGCAACAAGGGATTTAGCTAAGATTAACTTTAAGGACCACTCCACCAAAAAGCTATAGTTTAGTTATAGGTGGAGTCTGGTGGGTAGCTTTTAAGATGCCTTGGATACTTCAGCATCAAGTAAGCCCCTCCCTGCCTCTTTTAATGACCCATGTGCCACGCCCCTGAGGAGACTCAATCAATGGGCGGGATCTCTCCACCCCTGAGGAAGCCTCTCACCTGACCATATCTACATGGCAGCTAGTTCATAATGAATGGGTTGCCTTGCACACAATGCTTTAGTCCAGGGCTCAAAATCTCCACTCGCCCGCTCGCATTTGGCGAGTGGAAATAAAGAGAGGGCGAGTGGAAATTCAGTCAGGCACGCAAACACGGATCGCGTACCTGACTATGAGAGCAGCCGCTCCTTGCTGTCCTCTCCTGGCTCCGTTCTTTGCGGCCGGAGCTCTGACAGTTCTGAGCCCCGTTCGAAAGGACGGATTAGTAAGGTCTGCAGACCTTACTGCAGAGAACGGAGCTCAATTAGGTGGGGCAACTGGTGGCGAGTAACTCTTAAGACCTGGCTAGTAGCTCAGGACTTTAAATTTTGAGCCCTGCTTTAGTCCACAACCACACTTGAACGTGAATGGGCGCATCGCGACTAAAAATATTAGATCTCACCATTTTTAGGGGAGGGGGTAGGAAAAAAATGTACAGTGTGTGTACATTTGTGAAGAGAGATATTTTACACAATTTCTACCTTTAGAGGCGGGTTACCCAGTCACAGCCGATTGGGTGCGTGCACCTCCATGCTCCATGTGTTGCGCCATGAAGTAGACAAGGCCCGGCTTGGCTGACATCTGTGCGCTTTGCTTCTGGTGAAATGTGCTGTGTACACTGCGGGGACACTGCAAACAGAGTCGTTGTCTGCGTAGACTGCTCAGGTCCCAGCTCCGTGCTACTGAGAGGTGAAAACAAGTAGAGCTCCTGGCCGGCCGTTTTTTTACTACGGCTGGCCCGGAGGCAGTTAAACCAATCCCTCACTGACCTCTGTAGCTGCTTGTGGTGCGGAGTAATTCATTCTCAAAGATCCTCAAGGACCCTCCCAGCAACATGCTCATGAAATGTACACACCTTATATTAGTCCTAGTGATGTCCTCATTGGGTATCTGAGCTTCTCTATGCAATGCAGGTAGATCATGACGTGTGGGAGGGGCCGGAAAGGGGGCTGTACATAGCTTCCTGGAAACATCACAGCACCCTGCCTCAGTACTCCCTCTTAAAGAGCCCTCAGCCCTAATAAATGCAATGGGCTGGATCTTAGGAGAAGTTATGCAAATATCAAAATGTCTTGGTGGGCGGAGCAATGGCCATTCCTAGACAGGCATCCATGCATACCACCCTGGTTACCTCCACAGCACCAGCAGGTCATCAGACTGAGGACATCTAGTGGCAGAAAAAGAGAACTGCAGTGGGAAATCTCTGCATTGAAAGTGAATATCGCAGCCAAAGCGGCTTTTTTATTTCATCTTTTATTGGGCTCTTTAAATGTTATCTTTTATTTTTAGCCCGATTTCCGCTTTTTGTTCACCTTCCCGACTGCAATTCATCAAAATGGCGAAATCTGACTGAAATCTCCCAATTATTGCCCAAATTTTGGCGGGAATGAAAACTCTCACTCATCCCTAAAGACGACAAAAATATATAATTCATCAAGAAGGTAAAACGTGCCAGAATGTGATCCCTGAAGTTGGAGGGGGCAGGGGCAATTAGATGATTGTCAGTCATATTAGTGTCACCCCTCCAATGGTGTCACTCGGGCGCCCGGAGTTAAGGAAATGGAAAGTGGATAGAGACGTCCCGGCTGACAGCGGCGAATCTCGCGTCACACATCAAAATGACAAAGTGCGTTTTATGACTCGCAACTTCCAAGCGGGAAAAAGAAGATACTTTGTATTTTATTTTCTGTTTCCTTTTAGCGTTCCTTCTACAGAGGGCAGACATTTCCATTTTCTCTATTTGACTCAAATGTTGCGGCGTTTCGATCCTTCGGCGATAACGACTCGCGAGGCAGAAAAAAAAAAAAACAACAACCGCCCGGTCGATGGTTTCCCTGCAATGATGCCGAAGCAAAAGCAGCCGCCGAACAACGGCGACAAAGTATCAGGAAACAATGTCGATCGCGTCCAATCCGAGGCTGCGAAGACTTAAAGGAATCCTCCCGTACGTGAA